CTGATTATGGACGCTTTGACGTCGGACCTGCAGGATGAGGCACCCTGGTGCATGCTCTTTGCCGATGACATCGTGCTTGTCGGGGAAGAAGGCATCGAGGTACAGAGCAGACTGACGGGGTGGCAACAGAGGCTGGAAAGTGTTGGCTTGAAGATCAGCAGATCCAAAACCGAATATCTGTGCTGTGATTTCGGCGGTCTTTCCAGTCCTGTACCCATGTCGTTGGATGGCGCTATACTGCCTACCTGCTCAGAATTCAAGTACCTCGGTTCCCTCATTCAAGGCGACGGCGGAATAGATAGAGCTGTGCAGCATAGGATTAACGCAGGGTGGATGAAATGGCGACAGGTCACAGCCACAACGTGCGATCCCCGAATGCCAATAAGGCTGAAGGGGAAAATTTACAAATCGACCATCCGACCTGTCGTCATGTATGGAAGTGAATGCTGAGCCGTCAAGAAGAAGGATGAAAATAGACTGCATGCGAATGAAATGAGAATGCTACGATGGATGTGTGGTGTGACAAGGATGGATAAGATAAGGAATGAGTATATAAGAGGAAGCCTGAAAGTAGCGCCAGTGGTAGAAAAGGTGAGAGGAAGCAGATTGGCATGGTTTGGGCATGTGATGCGGAGGGATGAAAGTCATGTCACAAAACGAGTGTTGAATATGAATGTGGAGGGACACACGGGCAGAGGAAGGCCGAATAAAAGATGGATCGATTGTGTGAAGAGTGATATGAGAATGAAAGGAGTAAGTATGGAAATGACGGCTGATAGAGAGGAATGGAACAAGAAGATTTACTGCGCCGACCCCAGATAATGGGAAATGGTTTAGAGAATGATGAATGGAATGTTGAACTGTTGTACTTTCTAATGAAATCCACTATATTAAATATGTTAAAACTTAATTTTTAACACTTTTGCCAGTGTCAAGATTCATAATTCATAATTATTTATTTGCATAGAATGTAGGTAGATATTACAAGAGTATTATTAAAACATAAAAGTTCCTATACATTCTGCCTTATCGAAGCGTGCAAATTTTGAATAATTAGATATAACAATTCTTTTTTCAGGAATTTAATTTATTTACAAATATCAAAATTTTCACATGTACAACAGTAAAATTAACTAACTAATAATTATTCTGTAACTATCGAAGTCTTTTTTAAACTCACAGCAAAAAATTCAAGCATTTTTAGATACAGTTATTTAAATATGTAATTTGTTTTGATTTTTGTGATCAAGAATCAAACCGAATATAAGAAAGTATTCTGTATAATAATTAGTTTAAAACTACTTAGAGCTTTTGTCAGTAGACAGTCGATGACGACAGTATCTTAAAGAGCACAAGCAGACACATTATGTTGAGCTTCACATCACCATCGCACATATACAGGAGCAACAATCCCCCGGCAGCCCAGTTCCCACCAAAACTCGCGGATACACATTGAATAAAACTATATATACGGATTCTATCGGTCCGATCTACGAAGAACCAGCTTACAGAACCTTGAAGTCTTGCTTAATATTAAAAAACTGAAGGTAGCCGGGCTAACTATAACATTGGGACGTCAAACATCTCACTCTCAGTCCCGCCCTTGACCACGGGTGCTGTAAAGCACCCCAAACGTCGGGAATTAAAAATAAGTAAATTAAACGCGATAGAATCCGTACATACAGTTTTATTCAATGTGTAATGTTCACGAATTTAAATTTAAGAAATTATTCCGGATAGACATTTTGTTTTAGTGAATGTTAATATTTAAATAACGGCTTAAGCCAGTAACGAATAATAATTTTACGCGCCCCATATTTCGCTGGTTGCGACTGAGGTAAATTTGTTACACGCAATTTAATTATAAGTTTTTCGGTTTCTAGTATATATGTATATACATAAAAACGATGCCTCGGTGTTGTATTCATTATTTTTCTTTAATTTTTCTCCTTTAGGAATATTCATACCTTCATTTCGTTTGATTTATCTTTTTCTAGTCTAATTCATATAAAATATCAGAATAAAACTATAATCTATACACCTTTATAAGTATAATAGTTAGCTTCCTACGCTATGAAATCTGTTAAATATTTCAGCTCCTTAAGTGGCGCCGCCCTGGTAGCAGAAAATGTCACGGATACCCTCATTAACCCGGCTGCATCTTATTAAATTATAACAGTACATACACGTGACGTGTTTTTGTAGCGCTTTAATAACTTGTTTCCTTTTTTGCTTTAATCATTTTTAGAATTTACTTACCTTTTCTAATATAGCTTTGATAAATAAGTTGGACGATAGATACTCACAAATAACATCGATGATAGTTAACTCGGGAATACAAGCACACAGTCCACGTAATGTCAAGTGGATGCTGTGGCCCGTAGACATCCACATCTAACCTTGATTGAGAATCAAAATGCAGATGCGTTGTCACCCCTGAAGACTAAGATGGAATGCCTCGTTTCCAGTAAAAAGGGTCTCCAGTTTTCTAGATTAATCATATGAATTACAACAACATATAGCTCTCATTTACTGGACTGGTACCTCGTGAAAATAGTAGTTTAATTTTAGGCTTAACAAAGCAAAATCGTCATTCTTTGTTGATAATGAATATTTTGCTTTCAACAAGGCACAGTGAACGCATACAGTTAAAAGTAAAGTAACATACGTCTGGTAACAATCTACATACGTCTGGCACTGATAGAACGGATATTTCTAAGAGGAGGAGAGCTGCTATTTTACACTGGTATTCTGCAAGAACGTGACTCTACCACGGATAAAAACAAACAACGTAATATTTATATAAGGATATAATATGCTCGGTGTGTTGTTGTTTTGTTATTCTAAGTTATAAGAAAAATATTAATGCAACCCAAGTTATAAATTAAGCGTGCAAACAGATTTCAGATTTTTTTCGTCTCGTGCCATCTCTTCTAATAGACACATACGCGTAAAAGCAAGCTACTCCCAATCACCATCTTATTTAAATTTATACAATACAAATGATCTGTTAGGAGGGCCGCTCTGAAAGTGTTTAAAAAAAAACTTTTACATTAAATCCCGGAAGTTCTTTTGGTTTATTTCCCCAAAATTAAAATAATACAAAAAATTTACAAAAGCCGCGAACGGCGTGTGCGATATGCACTTAATATGGGTTGGAGCTGCACTGCCTCGACTACCTCAAACTCTAGGCTTTTATACTAAATATAATAATCGAACCAGCGCTTTTAACTAACTAGGGTTGGACATAACAGATCGTTCGAAAATCAATTATTGTATAGAGTAATTTAAAATGATAGTGTGTGTACATATAATAATTTAAGGTATTTTTAATCAGACTCGAGTGGTCTGTCAACGTATGGTCATGATTGTGCCTCGGTTGCGTTTAGCTCAGACATTTTGAATCTTGAAACTCTCCCTGGCCCTCAATCAACTGGCCGGCAAAAAGTGCTTTAGCCAATAGGGTCACAGCGCTACTCTTCGGGCGGAATCCTTCCACGGGAAATTCCCAAATGGATTTCCCCTTGTAGCACGCACGTAGGGTTGCCAACTTTATCTATATTAGTGGTTCAAAAAAATACCAAGAGAAACTACGATCTAAGTATATATAAATAAAAATGTAAATGTTTTTAATGTACTTAAAATCTTAAATCTCCGAAATTTCTTCATCGATTGTCTTGAAAATTTGGCACAACGTTACATTGAAATACGTACGTGTTTTATATAATTAAAAAAATTGAAACCACAAAAACACGTGACCGGATACATTTAGTATTTTAATAAGGCCTCAAAGAAGCAAAAATATTTATTAAGAAATAAATATATTAATTTGAGTCATACTCGAACCATAGATTTGTAATTTTCCATCATTTACATACTATACAGGGTAATTTTTCAAAAACCGGCGAAATTTGCAGAGTAGATTCAGAATAAGTAATAATAAGCAAATGGTAAAAAATAATTTAAAATTTTTTAATATTCTGTCCTTTTCATTTTTTAAGTTAAAAATGCATACAAAATGCATGTGTAATGCATTATTGTAAGTGATTTTACTGCGCACGCACACATTCTTAACAGTCGATCGGTAAGCAAACACGTTGCTGGCCATAAGTCACATTCAATTTGGGATAATTTCAAATAAAAGTAGAAGCCTTACGTACTCGTATTTTCAAAAACTGCTATAACGATTTATCATTATTTATATATTTGATCTTATTTTAAAATTTGGCTACACTTTGAAAAATAACTCTGTATTTTACAGGTACTCGAAGTTACTGGGTTTTTTTCTATCATAAGCCAGCGCGTGACTACTATACTACTTGATGATGAATGGTGATGTAGCCGAAGATGGTAAAGCGCACTGACTTAGTTTAACAAAAGTGTATTTATTGCCTTGAAGACACCCGCATTACAATCGAATGTAAACACAGATGCTAGCAGATGAACTATATTGATGTAGGTACGCATTATTAACGACGAACGAAACCGATTGGTACGTTTGCGTGGTATGTTGACAACAAAGCGGGGAGACCAGCTGAGTGACTGGTGGTCCGATGATGGAATGGATATTTTTATTAAAAAAGTTGACAACTTTGTATACACGTGTATGCGTGTGTATGATATAATATAAAAATGTGTACAGTTCACGCGCGGTAGAAGTGAACTCTCCAGAAAACCAAACTAAACGACAGACTAAGACGAAAACAGTTTATCAGATGTAGGATAATCGTAGTTTTTATGGGATGAAAATATAAATAAATTTATAATAAACACTGTATATTGTACCTGTTCTAGCTCAGGTTAAATCCTATAGATGTATATGTTTGTTTCTTTTTTTGGTCACTTTTTCATTTCATTGAATTACAAATCACAACGATTCTAAAAAAGCTTACACTTTAAAAAGTTGGCAACCCTAAAGCTTGTGTCCGAATGTATCGCTGTGCATGCGTGTGCGTGTGCGTGTGTGCGCTTAGGTGGGGTTGTGAACAGTGAGCACGCACCTTGAAGTACTTGACGGTCTTGACTCTGAGCTCGAGCGTGGCGTCCTCGTCGCATACGAAGAGCGCCTGCGCGTGCTGCTGGAAGGCGGACACGGTCCACATGTGGTTGACGCCCTCCTCCACCGCCTTGGCCAGTGCCAGCGCCTTGTGTGCGCCCGTGATCAGGATCATCACCTGCCCACCACAAGTAAAGTAATGTCCTCCACACCTAATTTTTTATTAATAGGACACGATTATATTGCTCAAAGTAAGCCTCAGTAGCCGCCTCGAGTCAGGAAGTTGGCGGTTTTTCACTCCCGTGCCTCGGAAAGAACGTTAAGCCGGTGGTTCCGCGCCCTCCGATCGTATCGGATTACCGTCCTATCGGACTATCAGAGTGAGGGAATAGAGAGTGCACCTGTGCTGGCGCACTCACGGGTACTATATACTCTGGCTGATCCTGTCAAATTCAGTCTATAGGACGTGCTGGAGAGAAAAGAACAAAGAAAATAATGGCTTGGCTGCAAGCCATTATTTTTATATAATTTTACAAAGATATAAAAAGATTTACATTTTTTATGTCGTTTATTGGCCTTATATGAAATAATCCGTACCGTATGGTCGCGGAGTAAGAGAATTCACTTCTCCTCCCATATTGTACCGCGGGTGTTGTAAGCGGCGACAGAAGGAACCTGATGCAGTAGATGAGCAACAGCAGATTATCGACAACAATTCAAAATAATAAAAACTGCGGTTACCAGCTCGCACGTCAAGCGTGGTAACTATGGCAAAGTCCTCCTCATGAGGCAATCTAATGGGAGGCCTACGTTTAGTAGTGGACTTGAGAGTGCTGTAATGCTAATGATAATTAAACAGATAAGTGTAAAGATGTGAGCGCGGTGTGCGCACTTCATTGGCATCCATGACGGTGCCGACGCCGAGGGGCAGTAATGAAAATGATGAAGGAACAGACAAATGAAAAGCGTCAATGTTTAGCTGCAGACTTGAGAGTGCTGTAATGATAATAATGAATAAGCAGTCAAGTGTAAAGAGCGATTCATTTTTAAAGGGTGACAAACGAGCAACAGTCCACCTGATCGTAAGTGAATGCAGAGGCCCATAGACACTTCTAAATTCAATCAGAAATTAAGATGCAGTTTCTTGTCACCCCTGAGGACTAAGATGGAATGTCTGGTTTCCAATAAAAAGAGTCTCCGGTCCGGTTTGCACTCATGATAGATCGGTCCTGCATGATAATGATGAGTACGCAGACAAGTGTAAAAGTGTGTGCGTACTTCCTTAGCGTCCATGACGGTGCCGACGCCGACGGTGAGCGCTTGCCGCGGCACTTTGGTTATGTCGTTGCCGAAGAACCGCTTATTGGCCTCCAACGTGTCATAGGCCAGGGTCTTGACTCGCGTGCGCGACACCAGCGACGAGCCCGGCTCGTTGAACGCGATGTGACCGTCCGGACCGATGCCTGCGCAACAACACAACACCTTACTCTCGATGGTGTGGCATAGGGGGGGGGGTATAGTCGCAGGTGGCGGTTGGGAAATGAAAGTCAGCTCTTGAAGCTCTGGAAGCAGACTTTCATTTCCCAAAAGCCCAATTTTTAAATTGTGCTGGTGACATAGAGATAATCTACACACGCCGCACTTGCCAAGGGTGATAAAAGTCTTCTACGGTATATAGTAGTAACTGTTCTGTAGTACACAGTATACCATAGAAGACTTTTATCGGTTTTGTGCACAAAAGTTTTAGATGCTCAACTTCAACTAATGAGAGCTGCAGGTGTTATTTCAGATTCAAAATCAAAACACAGATGCATTGACACTTGACAACTAAGATGGCACACCCCGTTGTCAGTAAAACGAGTCTCCGTCGTGGTTCTTCGAGTTCTCGTCATCCACCATAAAAAACACAACAGCATCGTTCTATTTCTATTCTATTATTTCTATTTCTATTTTACACTTCTATTCTGTGAGAGCGTAGTCCTAACCCGCTCGAGCCAGCCTATTAATAAAGTAAAAAGTATAGTTACAGCCTATATAAGTCCCACTATTGGGCACAGGCCTCCCCTCATTTCTGAGAGGGTTTTAGGGAAAGGAAGTGTCCGCCGCACAGCTCCAATGCGTGTTGGCGAACTTTACATGCTTTCGAAACATTTTTTTTCTTATTCCTCACACATGCTGGTTTCCTCACGATATTTTCCTTCACCGCCGAGCACGTGGTAAATCAGCACTTAAAATTGCAATTAACAATTTCATTAGGACCGGCGGGGATCGAACCCGGGTTACTCGCATTCTGTTATATTTACAGCGAGCGTTAATCATCTGAGCTACCACGGCTCTTAATAATTATATAACCTATTAGTGTTGCTTGCTAAAACTTACCGCCAATAAAGAGATGCACGCCGCCAGCCTCCTTTATAAGATCTTCGAAACGCTGGCACTCGGCGGCCAAGTCAGTCGCGTTCCCATCCAGCACGTGCGCGTGCTCGGGCTCGATGTCCACGTGCTTGAAGAACTCGTTCCACATATAGTAGTGGTAGGACTCGGGGTGGTCGCGGGGCAGACCTGCGGATACGCACGATACCAAACTCACTCAAATATTACCGTTACTGCTTGTTAAAGTCCACTGGTGAACATAGGCCTCCCCCATAGACGGCCTTGTAGGGTTGATATTTGCCATAGTTGCCACACTTGGCAAGCGGATTGGCAACCGAATTTTTTTTATTTTTAGTCGATATTAGGAAGACGCTGCTGCTCATCACCTGCCTGTCTCCCTCTGTCGCCTCTTACGACACCCACGGGATGATATGGGGTAGTGGATATTCTTACACCGCCACTAAAGAAGAGAGAACTTACAGTTGAAATTAAGTGAAAACTAATGAAACAGGAAATATTATATTAATATCCGAAAATGAAACAATACGACTGAAATTATATTTAGTAACTAACCACTTGACCACACTTGGAGTTTGTTATACCAACTTGTTATATGACGTAAAAGTAAAATAGTAATACTCGCCGTTGATAGTAAGAATATCTTCTTAAAACTTAAACTGTCGGCTTAAGCATTAAAGAATACTTTAAGTTTTAATATTAAGATCGATAAGTAACATCAAAAACAATAGATAGGAAATTAGCCCCACGTGTTAGTCACGTTCACGTCGGAGACTATTTGCAAATTATAAAATAATATAACGAAGGCAGGTAGCCTTTTTTATGTGACTGCCTCGTTGGTTCAGCTGATCATGAGGTACTGAGTTAAACTCCCGGGTAGGGTCAATATCAGTTACGGGGGCTTACTGTTTAGGAACCCTCAGTTGCAAACTGGAGTCAGCAAGTTACCTTTTCACTAGGAGCTCGAAAAGCTCGTAAAGCCGTTGGTCCTACGGCTGATCTCTCTCCAGTCGTGTCGCCTTACTGTCCCATCCGACTATGATCGAAAGGGGACTGCACCTGTGCTTGCCCATACTCGTGCACTATAACCCTGTCCTGCGTAGAAGGCTAGTCTTCGTTAAGATTAGCCGTCGTGAACGAAATTCGGTCAGAATAACATTCATACACACACTGAGTTTGATTTGAAAACAGATGCATTACAAGTGCTTCGCGATGCGGCTGTTCGATCCGCGTCAGTATAAAGTAAAATGTATGGCTTTTGCCTCTAAGTGACTCACTCACCGACATACTCGTCCATGTTAAAAGTTGTGACGTATTTGAAGGAGATGAGCCCCTGGCGGTGGAATTCGATGAGGCGCCGGTACATGCCGAGCGGGGTCCCTCCGGTGGGCAGGCCCAGCACGAAGCGGCGGCCCGGCCCCGGAGCGAACTGCGTCACGCGCTGCAGCACGAACCTCGCCGCCCAGTCCGCCACCACATCTGCATCCTCCAGGATGATTAGCCGCATTGCGATCTCACTCTATCCAGCCTCTGCAACACGCCAGCACCAGACTATACTATACTAGCTGGTAAAAATCCCAAATAGCAATAGACACGTCACACGATTTTGGGTAACACATAAAACCCCTATCTTGATGGGAAACGTGGTATTCTATTTTCACCCTCAGAGGTGATACCTGCATTTTGATTCTAATCGGGAAGTAACGTAGGAATAGACCACTGGTTTGGAAAAAACCTCTGTCCTGGGAAGATCAGCCAGAAACCCACCGGGACTTTTTATAAAAATAAATTTCACAATTTGGGTGGTTACAAAATATTTACAAAATTTATTCTAGAAACAGCTTGGAAGTGGAACCATGTATTCATTTATTTTATAATAACCCTCTTTATACAGTTTTTGTTTAATTTAACATTTAAACTTGGTGATAGAGAGATCTTGTCTTGATACAATGAAGCGGTGCCGGGCCTGGGCGTCTCCCGTTAATTGGCGCCCAAAAATGGATGATGGATTGTAATACACAACGTATAGGGCCGCTGCCTGGGGGTCGCCGGGGCGCGTCTGGAGCTGGCGCTGGACGCGGCAACATACGGGCCGCCAGCCGAGCGATCACCTCGCATCCATCACCCCACCAGATGGCTTGATGTCGGCAGGATCCTCTCGAACTCGGCAAGCGGCATCCGCCGCTGGTGGAGTGCGCCGTATGCGTTGGACAAAAATATGAACGCAAACACATTGCGGGCGTGGTAGCTCAGTGGTTAACGCTCGCTGTAAATATAACAGAACGCGAGTAACCCGGGTTCGATCCCCGCCGGCACCAATGAAATTGTTAATTGCATTTTAAGTGCTGATTTACCACGTGCTCGGTGGTGAAGGAAAACATCGTGAGGAAACCTGCATGTCTGAGGAATAAGAAAAAAAAATATTTCGAAGACATGTGAAGTTCGTCAACACGCATTTGGCCAGCGCGGCGGACACTTCCTTGCCCTAAACCCTCTCAGAAATGAGGGGGAGGCCTGAGCCCAGCAGTGGGACGTATATAGGCTGTAACTTTACTTTACTTTACTTTTATAGGGCGAAAGGGGAAGAAACTACGAGGATAGCGTATAGGGCTCAGATGCATTGTTTTTTTGCTGAGCTGAAGCCGTCTATTCCCGTCACGGAACAAAACCTGGCAAATATATTATCTGGTCTGATTTCTGTAATAGCGTATACATTGCACCAAGAATGAATTACTGACTGTGGAGTCGAGAAACATGTATCACTAACTTGTGTTTGTTCCTAGTGTTTACAGAGTGTATATATATCACTTTTTTTACTAAAACAAAAACAAAGGTTTTTTGTGTGTTAACATTAAATTTTCATAAATAAAAATAAATCGAGAGAACAAAGTTACTATATTTATTTTTTTTAATTTTTCTCTAAAAAACTCTCTGTTTTAGGTTGTAAATAGCTCTTATGGCAATTATACAAAAATAGTTTGTAAATCAGCCGCATTTCCCCATAGGTAGCAAAACCCCATATGACATTATGCTACGAAAATAACTGAAATAAACTAATCTAGCTGTCTCGACACTAGTGAGATCTCTAATTTTTTAATTTTAATTTATACAGCATAAGCTGCGGAGCTTAATATTCATGCTAGTTTAAGATATATGTAGGCCATACCGCAGCTTAGCATCCAGAGTGATGCCAAGAAAAACAAAGGATTCACCAGGGTTTTTTCCCCATTTAAAAACAGATTTTTAACATTCGTTGTTCATTCGTGTTGTTGTAAATTTAATACATTTAGTTTTATGGCCGTTTAATGTAGATTATTAACGTTAAACCCATGTAATTATTTTGTTAGCATGGAATTTAAAACCCCCGATAGAAACTTAATTCTTGGCTTGATTTGTCGATAATAAACAGCCATGTCCGCAGGCATCACCACAAATGAGGTTATTCACATACCATACTAGACGCCGCTCGCAATTTAATTTGTTTTATATTATGAGGCTGACAAGATTGCACACTTCCCACCTGATGGTATGTGGATGCTTTGACCCATAGACGTTCGCGTGTATCCTCGATTAAGAATCAAAATGCATATGTTTTGTCACCCCTGAGGACTAAGACGAAATTGCCTCGATTCCAGTAAAACAGGGATGACAGCGTATCTGCATTTTGATTCTTGATCGAAGACAGATGTCTACAGACTTCTATATTTGTCTATATAACCACGCGGGGGTGATTATTCATAGGTAAAAAAACTTACCGAGTCTTAGAGAATTACGTTATGTTCGACAATTTAAACCCACCCAAGTGATGGGATACGAATATCTAGCAGTAGACTATTTCAGACTGATGTTGAAATTGAAAATAGTTGTAATAAAATAAACACATTCTTATTAATTGAAACAATTTGTTTACTATTGCAATGTTTACCAAGAGACACTTAACACGTTCTCTTCGTATTAATCGCGGTGAGGCTAAAGATAAAGAGTCATTGCCCTACATAGAAATAAAATCAAACGTTTGCGAGACGTGGGGTCGATATGCCCATTAAATACTCGACATTGGACTGTTTGTTCTTTACTATATTCTGTTTTCTACATAGCTTATATTTTGGAATACTCGAATACTTTATCTTTAAACAGGGTTATTTTTCAAAGAGTACGTGAATTTTAAACTTAAGTTTAGATATATAAATAATGATATACCGATACCGATACTGCAGTTTTTGAAAAAACGAAAATACCAAATGTAAACAAAACCAATGCAAGTTTATTAGGAATAGCAGGAGTGCGTAACTTTTTGATAGAAGGTGTCCAGAACGCAACGATCAAACGAAAGGAGATAGTAGAACATGGAAAAACTGTTCAAAAAAAATTAAGACCTATACCCAATTTTTTTTAAATTTCTTTTGTTTAAAAGATAAAGGAGGAATTGTTATAAATTTTCCAGGAAATCACGCTTTGCGTCAATATTTTTTGATGCTGCATATGCAAATGAAAACTGATTTTAATTTTTTTTCTGTTTTGTATAGTTTAATAATATCTCTACCATTACCTACTATTTTATTTTTCAATACCTATTACGGTTTGGTAGAAATAAATACATAAAAATTTATAAAAGTGTAAAAATGTAACATTAAAGTTTTACAGAAGTTGGGCCCTTCATTGTAAAAGAGTATGGACCCGTATTCAAAAGTTGGCGCAATTCATGTAGATATCAAAATGGTATAATAGATGGTACTTTTATTTCAACTTTTGTGCTATAATTTTTTTTCTGGCAGAGGGAAGATTTTGTTCAAATTTACAAATAGATATTTTTGATGATCCTGCTGGTTGGGTTTACCTAATATTCATTTATTACATTGAAGACCTAGTTTTGGAGCAGGTTCTAAATGATCCGCGAACTTCTGTTCGTAACATTGCATTATTGACAGGAAAGACAACTGCACACAGGGTGCTCTAACGCAATAGGTACCACTATTGCAACCTGTGTTATAACTATTACTATAAAACTTTAATGTTACATTTTTACAAAATTACCAATTTTTATGTATTTATTTCTACCAAACCGTAACAGGTATTGAAAATTTTATTAATTAAGTTTTTGAGCAGTTCTTCTACGGTCTACAACCCCCCTTTCGTTTGATCGTTACGTTCTGGGACACCCTGATTATTAGATATATTTAAGTAGACGATATAGTTTAAAAAAATGTCAAAAAAATAGACTTTTTATAAATTTTGTTATAATTTGAATTTTTATATAGTGTAGATTTAAATTAAATAAATGCTAAAATAAAAATATTAATTAATTTGCAACCCTCCGCTAACTAAATACAATGATGTGTCTTACCTGGATTGAAGAGCTTAGCGGTCAGCCGCCGTAGTCTACATCACCTGAGGATGTCTCGTGTAGAGGCGAAACACGTGTCGTATTATCATCGATGGTGTGTTTTACCTGGAATAGTGGTGTTGGAAGTAGTGGTGCCGTGAGTAATGGTTCTGGAACTAGTGGTGACGGAGTTAGTGCATGCAATTGAGGGAGGGCCGGAGGTGCTCTTCAATCCAGGTAAGACACATCATTGTATTTAGTTAGCGGAAGCTTGCAAATTAATTAATATTTTTATTATAATGGATTTCCGCGAAGTAACGCCTGATTCTATCAATCATAAAAGATTGGTAGAGCCATGCTGCAGTTATATTAGTAGTATAGTTGTAGCAAGAATGGGTCGGCTCGACTGGGGAAGGACCACGCTCTCACAGAATACCAGCGTGAAATAGTAGCTTAATGCTGCTGTGTTTCGTATGGTGAGTGTAGAGAACCGGAGACCCTTTTACTGGAAACGAGGCATTCCATCTTAGTCCTCACGGGTGACAACGCATCTGCATTTTGATTCGTAATCGAGGATAGATGTAGATGTCTATGGGCCACAGCAACCACTTACCATCAGGTGGACTGTGTGCTCGTTTGTCACCCTACCCTATAAAAAAAATTATCTAAATAAATGCTTTCTGCGCCATATCTTTTCTCTATGGGTATTTATCACTAGGCCGAGTTTAAAAAAAAAGTTTTATTATTACAGTTGCTGTTTTTTTAAATAACTAGTACCTATTATGGTTGTAGCACGAATGGGTTAACTGGGTGGTATTTTTTTCTATCGAGAGTATTATTGTGCTTATTGTGTTTTCCTTTTGTGAAATTCAAGGACATATAGTCAAAATCATGTACCAAAAATTTGGTTCGTAATCTATAAAACTTGAAAAAGTATGTGAAATAAAAAAACCACAAAATTTTCGAGGTGATGGAGGATCACCTTGATGCTGCTGTGTTTTTAGTGATGAATATCTATACTGAGAACCGGAGACTCTTTTTACTGAAAACGAAGCAGTCCCTAGAGAATATCCACTACCCTTTATCGTCTCATTGGTGTCGCAACAAGCGACTGAGGGGAACAAGCCCTATGGACAGCAGCATCGTTTTAATAACAAATAAGAATTAAAACACTGCGGTGGCCG